ATGTCACATTGTTTTCTTCAAGCCAGCCACTGTGTGATTAATTCTACTCCCCCAAACCAGTAAAATGATACAAATATCCTATAACTTATGAGCACATCCCTGTGTGGAAGGTGTGAGACACTGGCCAAGGGAAGAAGCCTGTAGGTTTTGAAATAGCCTGTTACACAGAAAGAGTTTAATCTACATTAGAGTTCCTATTCTGAGATTATGCACTGTAAAATCTTACTGGCAGAATTATTTTAGTCCCAGAATATAGTGAGTCTTTGAAAATGATAAGTTCTGTTCCTGTGGCTGCTTTCTGAGATTCATCCTATTACCATTGGTTTCGGAAGTGTTTCATCAGTGTGCTGTGGCACAAGTTTATTTTTTACTGTTTTGTATTTATAAATTTTTTGAGCCTACAGTTCAGTGTGCTTTACAGTTTAGAAATTAGCTATTTCTTCAGTTCCATTCTCTACTATAAGCCCACACCTATTTCTGATATGTTATGCTTTCTCACTGTTCTCGCAGAGTCTCCGATGGTCTTCACCGTGTTTTCCATTTGTCTTTTTATTCTTCACACTGGTGTCCTCTTGTCACTTTACTAATTTGTTTGTTTTTAGTGTGTATTTGTTCATGTGTGTACATTTTATTGACTAGGCATTCATCATATGAATATAAACTCTATTTGTAGGAAGATGTAAAGTATTTGCGCGTGTATTGCTTTTTGGTTAGTTTCTCATGGTTTTATGTTTCTTTATGGATGGTAGTAAATATAATCACAATGCGAGATAGATAGAGACCTTAAACCTAGTTTTTAAGAATAATTGGAGTTATACTATGATAAATACTTTCCATTAGAACAGTGGTCCTCAACCTTCTTAATGCTGTGACCCTCAAATACAATTCCTCATGTTGTGGTGACCCCCACTCCAACCATAAAATTATTTTCATTGCACAGATAATCCAATTGTGAGGACTAAACTGAAATTCCACAAAAAGGATTAATTTGCTTAGTTATAACTTAGGATGAGGAGACAAATTTTAGTCTCTCAGTATAAAACAGTGAATGTTTGGCATATTCTCTTATCATAGGACCCAGGCTTTGACTCCAGCTTTATTGCCCCAAAAGAGCACAAAGTATTCAGCTCAACTTCAGAGCCTATGTTAGTGTTGGGCTCCCCAGTCTGAGTTCTTATTTTCTCTGACAACTCTGTTTTTATTAGCTCAGTGGTACTTTCAAGAATTTCATTTCATTCTTCCCACTCACTTGGAAGTTTCTTCTGAATTTCTAGTGTTACATGAAGGCATACTAGTTAATATTTTGAGAAATTTTTATTAAGAACTTTTTATCTCCTCACATTTGAAATGTATATTGATTACAGACTTTCATGTTGATAATATTTTCCCTTAGGTTTTGTTAAGGTATTCTCCACCATTTTCTAGCATGCATTCAATATTACAGAGAAGTCAGTCCCATAGCAGGATTTGAAAGAGAATGAGCAGGAGTACCCAGGGCCTCATGAAACCCAGGCTCAGGCTATGTCTTACGTGTTTAACTGGACAAAGTGATTCACAACACAAGTTCAAGTTTGAGTGGGTGGAGAATAGACTCAGAATAGAAGTAAAGAAATAATACTGCTTCCGCAGCTTTTCACACCGATGGATGTTATTGTTATTCTTATTTCAGAAGAAACAGAGATATGGAGACACTAAGTAATATATTAATGACAGGTCTGTCTCAGTGTGTGAACTGAGTTAATTTGCTTTTAGGCTGAGCTCTAAACTACTACCTACACTTGCTCACGGAGGATGCTGAATCAACTGAATAAATGAAAGAAGAAAGGCAAAAGACAATAAAAGGGGTTTGAAGCAACTATAAAAGACAGAGAGGGGAGGGAGGGAGGAAGGAAGAAGAGAGAGGGGGAGAGAGAGAGTTTACTCTGTAATAATGCTGATAGTCCCTTTGCAAAATCAGACAAAGGTGATATGAAGCCTGTAGATATTTGAAAGAGAGGGGTATACTGCTGAAGATGCTTGGTTTATAGCTGACTTCAGCTGTTAGAACCCACTTCTCAAAGTAACTGGAAGAGATACACAATATCAAATAAAATAACATTAGAAAGGGCTACAGAATTTATCTGTTTGTTTAATATGAGAGACAATTAAGAATAATTGGTGTTAACAGTATCGGATCTTGCTTTGTGAATTCTCTAGTGCTTTAACAACTTGAAGAGGGTAAGAATAACTCCACATGTGCAAATAAAGTTCTTGTTTGAACAATGAGTGTTCTAGATATCATCAGGGTCACAGATCTAAATTTCTGAAGACAAAAGGTCAAGTATGGCTATATGTCTCTAATCTTCAACTATATTGTATATATCTATAAATGTCTTCAAATACCTTCTATAAATCTTCTATATATCTCTGTATCTCCAAAGGCTATTTATTGCCTAACTATCGTATGCTATGTATAATTTTAGACATTGGGAAAAGAAAATTTCTGCATATTTATGAAGCTTTTATTCTGATATGGGATAAATAAAAAAATAAAAAGGCTACTAATTAATTTGCATGATGAAAACAAATGCCATGTGAACAAATAGCAAAATATATGGTTGGTAAATGCCTTGACAGTTAAAGCCTTCAGTCGTGGTTTGTTCCATTATACAGTGACTTGTGAGCTAAGTGTGAGCTTTAGTGATATTTTGACAAAAAATGAAGTTTGGAACAAGTGAGAGGTCCTGTCACTTGTTTGCAGAATTGATGAAGGATATAGAATAACTACTGCAGACCCAAGGTAGAGAGTTTGCTTGCTTACCAGAACTGTGAGGCCAGATGCACAGGGCTTTGTAGATAACCCTGAGAATTTAGTGTTAATAGAAGATGAGGATCTTTTTGTTTCAAGCCGCTGCATCTTAAAAAGCTACCTTTTGTGCCTGAGAGCAGACTGGGTTGGGTTAGGTTCAAAGTAGAGAAACCAGTTTGGAGAATGTTGTAATCATCCAAGTAGAAGAAGTTAGTCTTATGCTAGGAAGGTAACAAGGCAGGTCATAGGGAGAGGTGAGAACCTGTATAAAGTTGGGAGACAGAGTCATCAAAATATGTTAGCAGATCAGGTATAGGTCATGGAGACAAATGCCAGGGAAAAGTGGAAGGTTCTTTTTTTGAGCACCTGAGTGGAACCTTGAATCCTTAAGTGGTGTGGCGAAGAGACTAACATTTGGAAAGATGGAAAGCTCCACCTACAACATGTTAATCAAAATGTGTCATGTCTAGCCTTCACATATATGGCATTGGAATTCAAATGACTGTAGTGAACAGCAGACATAGGTTTGAAAGTAGACCAAGACTGTGTGGTATTTAAAGTCACATTCAATAACATAATCTTTCCATTGAAGGTAAAAGGAGTTTTGGAGGATTGGGCAATGAAGAACTTGAGCACTGAAAGATGTTGGAGAGCAGAATACAGAGTTCCTGTAATCCTAGGAGTTGGATGGAGGATAGCAAATTTAAGAGTGGCATTGGCAACAAAACAAGACATTGTGTGAAGAAACCAAATTATTTGTAAAAAAAAAAAAAAAAGAACAAAACAAAAGGCTGGTAAAAAAATGGACTTTCAAAAGAAACTAGAATTGAAGTAACTGAGTAGAGTGATCAATGAAGATAGGAAGAAATCAGGAGTGTGCTTTAAGGCGAAGTGAATAATCAGCCAAGCTTCTCACTGATGAAATGAGGTTAAAAAGCCAGTAGGAAAGGGCTTGGCAAGATGGAGGTCACTGGAGACATCTATTTAAGACCTAAGCATGGCTCAGGAGAAGAAAAGGACCAGGGTGGGCAAAGGCAGATTTGAAAAGAGAGATGGGTCAAATAGTTTGGATGTGTGTGGTCTTTAAGAAAGAAAGAGAGAGGGGGGTCTTTATATAGACTCCTTTAGTACTAAAGAATGAATGGTTCCACACATTATTTAAACCATGTCATCTATTAAAATTTAATGGCAAAATTTGTTGATTCTCATTTCCCAACAGCTAACAACAATGAGCCTCCAGTTTCGTAGCTTCTTTGAAAGTAGGATAATAACAGAAAAGTGGAAATCAGTACGTTTAGCCTCATTTGTCACTAATAATATTTGCTGTTTATGAGGTTGTTAGACAAACTGCTTTACTGTATTTGTTTTATAATGATATAGGAAAGATCTCTTTTTACATTATGAATTTGCTGAGTTTTTTTTGCTTTCAAAATATATTGAATCAATGCCTTATTTTATCAATGGAGAAATTATTCTACAAATAAATATTTGATAGATTCTCAATCTCTGTTAATATGACACCTTCTTTCCTATTCTTCGGAAACATTTTTCAATGACTTCTTCAATATTTATAGAGCAATTTAGTGTTATTGCTGAGTTAAGTTTTTCTGGCTTCATAATCACGGACTTAAAATCTCATGGATCGTTTTTGGAAGGCATCTTAACTAACCTTCTAGCATCAAGACATTGTTTCATCCTAAGAAGTGGTTATGTTACAGAATTTCAGTACAGTCATGGATGGCAAATCTTCACATTTTATTCCTCATTTTTGATATTAAAGATATGATCAGTAGAACATCCCCATTGTCTCAGTGTGTGGGTGCACCCCTCGCGGTCCTGAGTTCCTTGCTCGTCCTCTCTCTCCTTCTGTTCCTGATTTGGACCTTGGGATTTCAGTCCGGTGCTCCAATGTGGGACTCTGTCTCTGTCTCCTTTCATCGCCTGATGAAGGTTAATATCCAGGAGGATGCCTATATGTTTTTCTTTGGGTTCACCTTCTTATTTAGCTTCTCTAGGATCACGAATTATAGGCTCAATGTCCTTTATTTATGGCTAGAAACCAATTATGAGTGAGTACATCCCATGTTCCTCTTTTTGGGTCTGGCTTACCTCACTCAGGATAGTGTTTTCTATTTCCGACCATTTGCATGCAAAATTCAAGAAGTCATTGTTTTTTACTGCTAAGTAGTACTCAAATATGTATATATTCCAGCAGGACTGGGTCTGAAAAAGCATTGGATAAAACCGGACTCGCTGAACATAGCGGACAATGAGGACTGCTGAGAAGTCAAGAACAATGGCACTAGTTTTTGATTCTACTGCACGTACTGGCTTTGTGGGAGCCTAGGCTGTTTGGATGCTCACTTACTAAACCTGGAAGGAGCCCGGCGATGGTGGCGCACACCTTTAATCCCAGCACTCGGGAGGCAGAGGCAGGCGGATCTCTGTGAGTTCGAGACCAGCCTGGTCTACAGAGCTAGTTCCAGGACAGGCTCCAAAGCCACAGAGAAACCCTGTCTCGAAATCAATCAATCAATCAATCAATCAATAAATAAATAAAAAACCTGGAAGGAGGTGGGACGTCCTTGGACTCCCCACAGGGAAGGGGACCCTGACTGCTCTTTGGGCTGATGCTTGGGGGAGGAGGAAGGAAATGGGAGGCGGTGGCAGGGACGAGGCAGAAATCTTTAATAAATAAATAAAAAAAAGATATGATCAGGTGGGCTTAGGGATCTAAATTTTTTTACATTGTTTTGGTTATGTTTTGCTTTTGACTTAACACTGACTTAATCAAATACGTGCTCCTGGCCTCCATGCTTAATGAGACAATTTGAAGTCTGAAAGAATTCTCCTCTAACAGCATTGCTAAATAGCAGCTTTGTCCATAGTTTCCTTTATTGTTGATTTGTTTGGTGACAATTTGAAACATATTAATTAGATTTTCAAACATATAAGCATGAAAAGGGAAAATGCCTTATATGAAGAAAATAACCTTACTGGGAATTGAAGATGAGTGGAATTCCCTGTAAGTAATAATTTATAGCTTGTATTTATACTTCTCTTAGCACTATGGTTTTTCTTTAAAATTTTCTTCCTTTCCCTACAGATTTTTTTTCATAAAATATGTTAAATATGTTTTGTACATTGTGGTTTCTGACATGAAAAGTTTTTAAATGAACTTTTAAATGAATAAAGACTGTGGAATAGTACATTTTATTCCCCTAGTAGCATAAATAGGTTGTTTATGGGTCTCTATTTGGTTTTCCTCGTCTATCTTTTAAATGAATTCCTCAAAAATAAATATAAATTCAATTATGGTGTACCTGAGGAAAGTAGGGGAGGAGCTGCAGCCATGACAAGCTTTTCTGCTCCTGTATGTGTATGTGAGAAAGAAAACGCAGCATTTGTCAGTTCTAATGTGTTGTGTGAGTTCTAAGATGAGTAAGTTGGCAGGGTGTGAGAAGATTGTTTGTCCTGGATTGATCCTGGATTATTCACCTACAACAGCTGAAGAGCTGAAAATCCGTGCTGAACTAATGCCCAGGGACTAGGTCTCTTGGTCTGGTGACCAGGGTTCTCTCCTCCTGGAACTTGTGCATCGAAGGTGTGTGCATTTGTGAGATTTCCTCAGCCTAGACTATGACAATACCTTTGCCTCTGTCATGTGAGAGAAAATCTGTAGCTTTAAATAAATATGGATCTATGTGTGTTGATACAGACTAGTCATCCTAGCACGGAGGCAGGAGGATCCACAGTTCTAGGCCAAATTGGGTTATATATATATTGTCCCCGTTTTATCAACAAAATGACACCTGTCTCAGAAAAGACAGAGATGGAGGGGAAAGAAGAGAGAGGCAGAGAGACAGAAACAGGGAGGCAGAGTCATAGACAGAGAGAGAAGAAAGGGTGAGGGGCAAAAGAGAAAAGAAGGGACAAGCTCTGTAGTGAAATATATCAGTTTGATATATAAAATTAATGTGCATTAATAATTATATTTAAAAAGAAGATCTATTGAATGAACACTGACAACAGACTAAGGAGTTCCAAGGAAAGTCTTTCCACATTTTTATGTTTACTTTCCCTGGGGCAGAGACAGTCCATGGCAGAGTTCCATTTTTCTCAAGGCTGCCTTTCTACTCTGTTCCCCAGTGACCCACCTGTTTTGAGAACTGGAAGACCTTATTTCAATTCCTTGGTAACTGAGTATTTTTAGGAAAGGAAGTTATACATCTTTTAAAAAATATTTCACAATTATCTCTATTTATTATATTTGATAATAACTCACACCAAAATTTGCAATATATTGTTAGCAGTGTTTATTAGCTTCAGAACTGACAAACATTTTTTTTTCTCAATTGCATTTCTTGTGGGTTTTATCTATGACCCTTGTCTCAGTTTCTGAGAAGACATGATAGGTGGTTTTCATGAGAAGTCACTGCTTTTTTCTTTCATATGAACCCCAATGATTGAAACATCTGTGAACACTTGTTGTCTGAATGACAAGTTGACCTCTCTCTCATGATGAATTTCTCAAAGTGTCAACCAGAGCAGATTTACATCAGGATTATTTACTGGATGACTTTCAACATCACTAACGTACAAAAAAAACCATTGCATTTTAAAAAGACAGTCATAATGTGTAATATCTCATGGGTCATTTTGAATCCAATAACTTTAGTACTTTCTATGAAGCACTAAAGCTGGTGAAAAACAAGTTATCAGAATAGACTATGACAAATATTTTTTTGGCAGCATCCTTTTGCCTAACTATAGGTAAGGCAGTTAGAAGGAATGAATAGGTCTTTTGCACATTAATTAGCCTTGCAGAAGTAATCATGAAAGAAATCCCCCCCTTTTCCTTCTCCTTTTTTCTTTGTTTCCTAGCAAACACTTATGCCTTGCATGGTGTATGGAAGGATTTGTTTGATTCATCATCCTCCCTCTGTACAGAAGGAACACTGAGGGGAAGAAATACATTTACCTGTATTTTACAAAAACCATGAGATAACTGCATGAATGCATTAAGGGATTGGGAGTGCAGACATGAGCCTTTCTTTAATCCCAGTAATTGGGAAGCAGAAGCAGAGAGATCTCTCTGAGTTTGAGTCCAGCCTGGTATACATAGTGAGTTCCAGGTCAGCCAGGGCTACATAGTGAGACCCTGTTTCAAAACAAAGCACAATAAAACAAAACAAACTACAAAACAAAACCAAAAAGAATGAATTAAAAGCACTGCTAAAAAAAATCTCATTGTCCTACAAGCAAACTCTTAGCAGCTTTAAAGAATGCTCTTGTAACATAAAGATCCATTGAGAATCATGGTATGATGCTGTAATTTCCTAAGATTGCCAAGTTTACAGTCAATTGCTTATTTATTTAGATATTAAAGACTTATTTTATTTTTACATCCCAGCTGCAGTTTCCCCTCCCTTCTCTCCTTCCAGTCCCCCCACACTCACCCCTCCTCTGTTCACACCCCCAATCAACTCCTCCTCAGTCTCTGTTTAGAAAAGGACATGTCTCCAATGAGTCTCAACAAAACATGGGATGCTAAGTCGCAGTAAGACTAAGCACCTCACCATATATTAAGGCTTGGCAAGGCTATCCGGTATGTGTAGTAGAATCTCAAAAGCCAGTAAAAGAATGAGAAACAGCCTCTGCTTCCAAGGATAGGTATCCCAGAAGAGGACCAAGCATCATAACTATAACATACATGCAGAGAGCCTAGGTCAGTCTCATGCAGGCTTCCTGGTTGACAGATTAGTCTCTGTGAGCCAACTAAGAGCACAGGTTAGTTAATTCTGTGAGTTTTCTTGTGGTGTCCTTGACCCATCTGGCTCCTACAGTTTTTTCTTCCCCTCTTCTTCATGATTACCTGAGCTCTGACTAATGTTTGGCTGTGGATCTGCATGTGTTTCTCTTTCCATCGGTTGCCGGATGAAGCCTCTCTGATGACAATTGAGCTAAGTACCCATTTGGTCACAGAAGATGGTCAATTGAGGCTACGCATCTGCTTTTGCTAGGAGTCTTAGCTAGGGTCATTCTTGGTGCCTGTGAGATTCCCTTGTATTGGTTTTTACCTGGCTCTAAATTGCGCCCCCCCCCCATTTCTAGTAGTCTCTTCCATCACTTTTCTTTAACTGCCCCCAACCTGAATGCTTATTGTCCCATCCTCATGTACCTTCAGTTCATTCACAAAATCTCTTCTCCTTCCCCTTCCCAGGGAGATCCAGGCATTCCCTCCTGAACCTTCCTTGTCAGCTAGTCTCTCTGGGTCTGTGGATTGTTACATAATTATCCTTTACTTTACAGCTAATAACCACTTATGAGTGAGTACATACCATGTGTGTTTTTATTGGTCTGGGTTACCTCATTGAGAGTTTTTTTCCTAGTTCCATCTATTTGCCTGCAAATGTCCCTGCATCCTCATTTTTAACAGTTGAGTTAATGTACCACATTTTTTTTTCCATTTCTCAGCTGAGGAACTTCAAGTTACTTACAGTTTCTGGCTATTACAAATAAAGCTTCTATAAACAGATTTGAGCAAGTGTCCTTGTGATATGATTGAGAAGCCTTTGGGTCTATCTATGCCCAGAGGGGTATAGCAGGGTCTTGTGGTAGATTGAGTCCCAGTTTCCTAGTAGCCACACTGACTTCCAAAGTGGCTGAGCAAGCTTGCCCTCCCATCAGCAGTGGAGGACTGTTCCCCTGGCTCCATGTCTTCTCCAGCATGAGCTGTCACTTGTGTTTTTTATTTTAGCCATTCTGACATGTGTAAAATGGAATCTCAAAGTTGTTTTATTTTGCATTTCCCTGATGTCTAAGGATGTTGAAAATCTCCTTAAGTATTTCTGGGTCATTTGAAATTCTTTTTTTAAAGGACTTATTTTGCGTGTGTGCAAGTTGGTGAGTTTATATGAACCACAAGCATGCATATGCCTGCAGAAGCCAGAGGAAGATGCCACATTCCATGGAGGTGGTGTTAAAGTAAGTTATAAGCCACTAGGCATGTATGACTGGGAATGAATCAAAGTCCTCTGCAAGACCTGAAAGGATAAATGTCCTCTTATGTGAAAACCATAAAAAGTTAATGTTGTTGTGGAATATCTCTTTAATTGTGTAAAGATGTGTTGCTGTTGCACCTGCCTGCCTACATTTTCTGACTGGTCTAATAAAGAATTGAATTGTCAATAGCTAGTATGAGAAAGGATAGATGGGGTTGGCAGGCAGAGAGATACATAGCAAAAGAGAAAAAAAATGAGAAAGGAAGAAAGAAGAGAATGAGGGAGTAGGGCCAGAAACCAGGCATCTACCATCCAGCTAAACACTGGAGAAAAGAGGAAAGAAAGACATACAGAATGAAAAGTAAAAAGCCCTAAGGCAAAAGGTTGATAAAGAGAAACAGGTTGATTTAAGTTAAAGAAAAAAGCTAGGCAGAAATGAACCTATGGGAGCCAGAACATTCATAAGCAATAAGAAGTCTCCATATCATGACTTGGGAGTTGGTTGGTGGACCAAAAAAGAAAGCCAGGTACAAATCTTAGCTCCTAATTCAATAATGTTGAGAGATAATTAGGCTATGAGGGCTCTGTACTCATGAACAGATTCATTTAATCATTTCAAGAGTAGGTTTGTCGTCATAGGTAGGTTTCCTAGAATAGTATATGCTCAGCTTTTTTTCTTACCTAAAAGTACAGTCTTTTGCCCTGATCACTTTCTTCTATCACAGAATATCCTGGAAGAGGGGACAGAATAATTGAAAAGCCAGATGACCAGGATGTCTGCTGCTAGATAGTGTCATATAGACAGGACAGGGAAGCTGCACCCACAAAATCTCAACATCATGGCCGACCGAAGAAGACTTGCATAATGGTAGTATCATTCCACAAAGCCATCGAGGTTATGGGGAATTTCACAAGGCTTTGCACCCTGATGAGTATATAAAAGCAATCAATGACTGCTTAAAGAGGAAGAATTGGTTTTTCCTATGGATGAACTTCCTGGTAAGTTATCCAGTTTCAAGTGATCAGCCATGAACACAAGTATATAAGAATGACTCTAACTACCTCCATCCAGGTCTAGTAAGGTGAGCATCCAAAGGGGACTTGATTGGGGGAAGGGGAGGGAAATGGGAGGCGGCAGTGGGGAAGAGACAGAAATCTTTAATAAATAAATATAAAAATAAAAAAATAAAATAAAAAAGAACTTATATAAAAAAAGAATGACTCTAACTGAGCTAAGTTGTGTGTTGTAACAGTTATAATTATAGAAAAAGATATCATAAATTTGAGGAGTTAAAGCAGACATTGGAGGAATTAGAAGTTGAGGGGGTTAAATGATGTAAATATAGTAGTCATGTACAAAATGATTAAAATTATTTTTTAAAAGAAAAGGTCGCTGGGCAGTGGTGGCACACACCTTTAATCCCAGCACTCAAGAGGCAGAGGTAGGTGGATATCTGTGAATTTGAGGCCAGCCTCGTCTACAAGAGCTAGTTCCCAGACAGGCTCCAAAAGCTACAGAGAAACCCTGTCTTGAAAAACCAATAAATAAATAAATAAATAAATAAATAAATGGTCTATACTGCCAGAAAGTCTGATTAAAGGGAATTCTGGCAATGTCTTGGAAGAGGAGAAGGGCCACAAGGAAAACCTAAATTTTCTTAGGCATTATGTAATTCTGGGAGAAATATAAACAATGATACTAATTTTGATGGTACTAGCCAGAAATGGGAAAAAGGTATTGGAAACTTCCATAAAAACCATCCTTATTATAGAGTAGCAAAGAACTTGGCTTCATTATGCCCGTGCCTGAAGGCTTTGTAGAAGAAGTTTAAGATTAGTGAGCTGGGACATTTAGTGGAAGAAACTTTTAAGCAGAATATTTAAGGATCCACAGCCTTCTTGTAGGTGAGTACAGAGAGGCCAAAATAACTAGATATGACATTTATAATTAAAAGGAAACAAAGAAGAGGAGATGATGCGGTCAAGCTACCCTTTGATAAATGAATGGGCATGAATAAAAGAAAGCTTGGTGCTCTTTGTCAAGATAATGAAAATACATTCTGCATGTAGTTCAGAGATTTTGAAGCTTGCCTTAAACTGTCATAGGCCCAGTGATGTAGAAGGGCAGAATGGCTCTAGAATAAAGGACTAAATGTTCTCTGTGGACTTGTCTAGTGTCATGGCATCAGGACTATCCTGCCTACAGTCTTATGCAGTTCCTAGCTTAGGGTACTAGGCCTCAAGAAGCCTTAGGGTCAACTTGGGTAACAGGTCTAGAGGACACACATGGTAAAACCTGGAAGGGATCCAGTGCCACTGATTCAGCAAGCATGCAGGACACGAGCGCTGTGGGGCATAGCTTTTGGCACCTGCATCTCAAAGGAATTCATCAACAGTCTAGAGGCCCAGGCACAGACTTGTTGCAGAAGATGTGAGGGCTCATAGTGTATAGGATATTTTTCTCATGTTTGATTTCAAAGATTTTGTTTTATAGTTTCCTTGCTGCTGTGGAAAGAGCTCAGAGTTATATTCTTGGGTATAACATTTCAGCTATTGCTTTTGAGTTGGGCCTGCTGAGACTGTGACAAAAGATAGAATGTGAGTCATAACTAAGTCTAGGGACACTGACAGCTGTCAAGGCTAGCTGAGTAGAAGGCCACTACAGGGCAGTAAGAGTAACTGCTCTATTGTGTCTCATTCCTTGTTCTGGAAGTATGAATACCAAGCAACACTGCCTACAACCTTCCAGATGGTTCCTAGATGGTTTGGTTCAAACTGTCATTGGAAAGTTCAGACCTAGATCTTTAATGATCTCTGGATAGACAAGCCTTAGAATAGTTTTTTTTTTTTTTTTTTGGACTAGATATACGAAGGAAGATGGACAAGAGCTACATGTTTTTTCTAGAGTCAGACACATGAAACTAGAGTCCAGAAAGCCTTTAAGTCCTAGTGGACAGCTAGCAAGCTAGCAATTCAGTAGAAGAACTGGATAGGACAGCTTTTAAACAAAAATCAAGTCCTCTGTAGAGAGAAGTCAATCTAGAGCTTGGGCTGTCAGCATATTCCTTCCTGGAATCATTATGTGCATATATAATGCTAACTTATCATAGTCCCGAAAGGATCAGGAAGAAGACAAGACCTTAGCTTGGAAAATGCAGATGTTTCACTTGATTAACTGGATTTCTCCACAGCAGACTTTCTGCTCATCGTCTCACCACCAGTAAGGGAAATCTTCAGAGTCCTTCGGCCTGGGGCTGATATTGTATATGCCTGTCTCTTTATGCTTATTTTTTCTACCATTCCTCTTACTCCATTAATCCAGGTGCTAGTGAATGAGAGGAATGGCAAGGTCACCTCCATTGCAATGTTGGGCAAGAAATGGAGGAAAACAAGAAGAAAACAGGCTGATGACACCCTCTGACTACTTGCCTTGAGTTCTCAATTTCTGATTGCTTAGGTCCTTTTAAATATTGGGAGTTGGAGTTGGCCTCACTCTAAAGTATTGCCCTCAGAATCTCTGTGTGAGGCTTGGGTATTCTTTTAAAGATATATTTATTATTTTATTTTTTTGTGTCTCTGTGTGTCTGCATGTATGTGTCTGTCTCTGTGTTTCTATGTCTCTGTCTCTCTCTCACATACACACTCACTTCATCTCTCTACCTTGTTCTCTCTCTCTCTCTCTCTCTCTCGTGTGTGTGTGTGTGTGTGTGTGTGTGTGTGTGTGTGTATGTGCTGCATGAGACCCTGGAACTGGAGTACCGAACCTGGTTTCTCTGCATGAAGTGCAAGTGCTCTTAACTACTGAACAAACTCTCCACCTTGGGAGATTTTTATCCTTCTTGGATGACTTATATATGCAGACAGAAATGAGGTCTAGTGAATATATATATATACATATATATATATATATATATATAATCAATAAGCTATTATACAAACACAAAAGAATGGTCAATTGTGTAAAATCTATTATTTATATATGAATCTGACATATACATGTCATAACCCACATTTATAATGCACACATTGAAAAGCACACAAAGGCACTCCTTTTAATTATTCTTTTAAGTGCTCCATTTATACAAATTCTATTAAGATGTTTTACCCAAAATATGCCATGTTAAATGTCAGCTCCTGAGTATTTATAGGCAGTGGGATAAGGGAGATGAATTTTATTGTGAGACGTGTTTGAGAACTACATAAAACAGTTACTCTGGTTGTTTCCTTTCGTTCCCATTTCTTTGTGTTCTCGTTTCCACCCTTGCCATTACCATTCTTCCATCTTCCCCTTGCTTCCTTTCCCTCCTCTTTCTTCATTCTTATTTGGGATGGTCTAACATGAGCCATGTCCTAAAGGTAGTTGATCAGAGACTGCCTCTTTCTCTTGGGAACATTGTTCTAAAGGTGTCCTCCAGAAGCATTCTTCTGTATAGGAGGACAGAAATACGAAGGTACATTCTTGGAGGGTAGATTTGTGTTATCTGATGGTTGACTCTGTAGAAGTTGGCAACTTTTGGTATTTGGGGTATTTCTCAATACCATTACTCCTTGATTATGTAATAAATAGCTCAATGACTACTTATACAGAGTTTATCACACCATTCAGCTAATAGCTAGGGGAGCATTCCAAAGAAGGAGCCTACTTTATATGATATGACTTTTAGGACAGTATCCTTTTTTCCCATGTTTGTGTTTAAAATAGTCCTGGCTCTGTGAGAATGAATATGTAGGCAGTAACCTTGTATAAATATATATGACAGTAGACGTCTGATTTAATTGTCTTTTCTTTTTACCACTGTTTGATAATTTCTGAGAATACTCAAATTCTGAAAGTTTATCCTAGAAATCTGAGATAATAACTTGTCATGGTCTGGGACCAGCCCAGCCCATAAATTTTCTCTGACCAGCCGGGAGACACGGGAATAAAGACACAACTCACAAGACTTTATCGGGAGGGAGTTTTCAGTGATCCCTCATGAAATCCTGAGTTCTCAGCCTGAAAAGTCACCTGTGTTTATTCTGCAAACAGCTTTTCTACTAAAACATAAACTGAGGGGGAAATTCATTAGCATTCTGTTTCCTAGGTAACATCCACACCTTTCTATGCCCATTTTGTCATGTCTTCCTATCTATGCCTGCTCTGTCATGTAAACTGAACTAACACCTCTTTCCCAGGCAGACTTCCCAAATTACAAAGAAGGAGCAGAGCGACATTAGCATATTCTGTCCCTTTGTTTAGGATGGCGTCAGTTTGTCTCAAAAGCCTAGGTGGCCACCCTCTGTGTGGCCAGGTGCAAACTGTGGCCTGCAAGTCTGGTCACCATACCATGTAGAAATATGGGCCTGTATAATATAGCCCTACAATCCACTCCCTCTTATTAATTTTAATAAAACCTGTGCTTCTGCAACAAAAATTTAATTTTTCTAAAGAGAAGAAAATTCCCCTTTGAAAAAAAAAATAGTTACTAAATGGTAAGTGAATTGATTTTAGTGAAGAAGTAGAGAGGAGTGTAGCTCACTTTTTTCATGGTGGCCCTGAGTTCCCTGTAAAAGAACCATGAAAGATTTGACGGATATTTGGCAGAAGTACTAGACTCTACACTTTTGAAGATTGTCTGAAAATAACATCCATTGTCTCATCAACTCTGCACTGGGGACACTGTCTATTACAGTATGCTCTTGGTTGCTGTGATAAAACACTGACGGAAACAAACTGGCAAAGAAAGGGTTTAATTTGCTTACAGGTTACAGTCTACCATTGGGGGAATCCAGACATGAACTCAAAGGAGGAGCCTGAAGCAGGAACTGAGTAAGAGATTGTGGAGGAATGCTGCTTACTGAATGACTTGCTACTGTGAATTGCTCAGCTATGCTTCTTATACAGCCAGTATCCCCTGGCTGTTTACAGCTGGCTTGGCTATTCTACATCATTAGCAACATATCCACAGACTCATCTGATGGATGGGGTAGTCCTTAAACTGATATTCCTTCTTCCCAGCTATGTCTAGTTTTCTGTCAAGGGGATAAAAACCAGACAAAATATTGTCTACACTACATTTAATACTGCTTAATACATTTAAATACCAATAGAGAAAACAGACTTGAAAAAGGGCCCTGGAAGTGTTAGGAATTTCTGATGTTCCTTCATTTTATTGTTTGCAAACCATTCGGAGCCTCTCAATGTTTTGGAGCAAAGGACTCTGGCCTCACTTGTCTAACAAATCTGAACATATAATAGTCCATCACCATTCAGTAGGAATGAGGCAAAGCAGACAAATAAATTCTGTCTTTTCTCTGTGGTAACATAAAGAGGTGATCTAAGTAATAAACACACAGATACAACAAATTGAAGACAGTAATAAGAATCTCACTGCCTTTTTATTAATGTTGATGCCACGGCTTTCATCTTCTATGTGAGCCTCAGAAAGTTATTTAACTTAATTTTCTAGAATTTTGTTCACTTAAAAATATTTATTTTAACTAATTATATTCTTTGTTTATTTTGCCAGGTTGTTTTCAGTTAGCAAATCAGTCTGAGGCAGAGTTGAATATGCTCCCACATGCCGGTGTCACCACCATGGCCATCCTCATGTCATAGTGGACATCACTTCCTGAGAAAGAAAAGGCCATACCAGGGGAATTTATTTCAATAGCTTTTTATTTTACTTAAAACTGTATATGTCTAACATAAAATTGTATTTTATTCAACCACCAGAGGGAGCCTTCAAATCTACGGTTTCTGAAAAGGAAATACGATTGAAGTGTCAACTTTGTAAATTTTATGCTTGACAATTAAAAACCCAACACATTCCATTTCATGCCATTGCCTTCCATGAGGGTTTTCATACAGAAGATGGCAGGCTCTTCTCATGCTCCATATGCCGTATCATTTTGGTTAACAGTTTTTATATAATACTCTATTTTTGCGTGATTTTGATTCTTTCAGTAGTTTGAGTAATTCTGATATTTTAATTATACAGTTGATTGAGACTCACCAATATCTTGCTTCAAAATGATTTTCCTTCCATACTTTAAGTCCTAGCTTATTTCAGGTGTATTTTTGTCTTCAAATTGATGATCTTTATCCATATATGTTTTTTTCAGTAACCCCAAACCAAAGGTTTGCCACATCTATTCCTTTCCATATTTATTAATTTGGATACATTGCTTGTCTAACCAGGATTTATTATTAAATATTTAAGAAGTGTCTTGGGATTTTAGAATGATGAGTCTTTTTCATATTTGGGAATGTTAACCTAATGCATGTTTGACAAATAGAGTGACCGTGATATTCTCAGGCGTTTCCTTCCATCATCTGCAAGCTCATTTTCTCCCATGGAGAATCAAGTGATTCAAATGTTTCCAGCGATATTATTTACACATGGGATGAGGAAGGATGTTATCTAACTTTTTCCTCTAGGCAGAGCTGGCTAGTTCCCATAAGGGAGAGCCCTGGACCTCCCAGAACTAACCTCCTTCAATTGCTGATACCTTGTCAGTAAACGTGAGTTTCCATGTCCATGTAGGTCTCTCTCTCACTCTCCCTCCCTCTGTGTCTCTCCATCCCTCCTATATAGACTTATGCATGCATCATGATGCTGTCACTACAGCAGTTGAGGTAGTCAAGATACCCACTGTCTTCAAGCATTTCCTCCCGGCTGCTATCTATTGTGATAAGAACACTTACAACAGTAGCACAACTTTAGGGAAGGGTAGCTCTTGAAAGAACTTGTTTTGTCTACTGTTTGTGCATCACACTGTCAAATGTCCCTGTTTTTTTTTTCTTTCACACATTAATGTCATCAGTCTTGTTTTGTGACTGTGAAAAATTGTTGTGCACAGAGGTTAAGCAAATTACCCAGGGTCACAGAGCAGATGAGTGAAACCTGGGCTCAGAGCCAGGACTCTGAACTGCTGGGTTGACATATGGTCTTCCAGTGCTCCACACAGCTGCAGGCTGGCCGGCTCCTTCCCATTGCACTTAATAAAAGTCAGCTATTTTAACTCTTCATCTGAGTCAAAGTCAATGGAATTTCACTAAAGTTACTAGAATGTGGTCTCAGTAGAAAAATGAATTATGAATAATGAATAGAGGTGAAACAGATTCATCCCTAGTCAGTATTGACAGAGTCATTCTTCTTTTTCTTTAACTTCTGATTCTCCAGAAAGTGCTTACAGATGTATAATATTTCCACAAGAAGTTTCTATGACAACACCACCTGAATACTAACATTTTAGACAAAGTATTCCTTTGATATTTGTATGATTGCCTGATAGTTATATGTATATCTTTATTGCATATTTTACTTTATTTGCAAATATTCTTTATTTATTCAATAAAGATGTACATATAACTATCAGGGTCTGAATTTTGCTGCACAAAGAAAAGGTATTTTCCAACAAGGTGTTTAATAACTCAGTTGATAATGCTCTTTTAGAAGGCAAATGAGCTCATTCACTTTCCAACATAGAAGTCCAAGGAAGCTGTCAGGTAAGATAAGCTGTCAGCTACAAACAAAGTCAGTTGGCGTCTTACTTCACTGAGACTGTTCCCTGGACCAGCTGTTTTGCAATCGCAGATACCCATGGGTATGCAAGTCTGGCCTTGCAGTACATGGTTGGTCTGACGTCTCTTCAGCGCTGGCTTATCCTCCCTTACCTCTGTACTACCTTCAGAAGCAGCAGAAGGTCTCGTTGTCTGCATTTAGGGAAATGGATGCACACTCTGCTCTAATGCAGACTCATGGATGCTGCCTCCTCAGCCTACAAGGGGTGGGGGGAGGCAGCCCGTGACTAATACAGTGTTTAAAGGAACAGTACTAAGGAAAAACATGTTACAAGAGATTTCTCATGTCATTTTTAACAGCACATTGCATCAATAGGGTTTATTTCACTTATTTAAAAATAACTCTTAATTAATGCTGAGGATGTATGAAGGCAGACAGTATTAAAACTAGGGATTAAAAGTCTTTTGCAGAAAGACTTTTAATTTCTTGATGTTTATGTTTTTATGCTTTATATTTCAAATTTAATAATTCTATGAATATGTTTCACTCAGGTGCTCCAGCTTTGTCACAATCTTGCAAATAAATAATGCATTTCTTAGAAATATCCTCCCCAAAGTAGAAGGGCTGCAAACATTCATTTTGACTTGTCATGGAGGCAGTGGTTTTCATCTTTTGTGATACATTTTTAAAGCCTGAGCAAAACTGCATAAAGAATAGTTCCTCTTAATGAGATGAGTCACATGAAAATTTCAGAGCTCTCAAGGCTGTGAAGGCATGTGAAAAGATATCACCCCTGGTGACTGTTGAGCAGAGGCATGCCTGTGCTCTGCTGGTTTCTTTTTCAGAACGATGACAGCAGCAGGTATCCTGGAACTTATCTGCTGGAAGTTAAAGTTTAACTCCTCTACTAAACAAATTATATTAGACATGCTACTTAGTTTCTATGCCTCAATTTACTTATTAAAACAAGAAATATAATTTGTAATGGGGATTGCCAGGGCTATTTTTTTAATTCTGTATATTATTTAAACCAGTGTACAATCCTATTTATTTAAACAAAAACACTTTTTGTAGCACAATTTCCCACGATAATTCCACATTTCCATAACCATGATTAAGTTTTGTCATCACAAATCTAGAATGCTTACATAAGAAATCTGCTTGTCTGAGGCATTAATAAACTGAATCTGAGTTTTTTCTCATCCATTCAAAGGTCTAACATAAAATGGAGTGAGGTAGGAAAAGCAGAAGGCTTAGAAAAAATCTTGGCTATAATTAATCATCAAATAAATGTCTATTGATTTGGAACCATGTGGAAAAAATCATTATAGATGCCAAACAAACAATGTTAAAATCAAGAGGCTAAAGAAAGCATCATAGGAGCAAAACAGATTGTTTTTTAAAGTGGACAAAATTGTTTTGACCATATTAGAATCATAACACTTTCAAACCATATTCTTGAAAGTAAATATTTAGAGGGTGTTTCAAAAAAATTCTTTTTATCCTTCCTGGATTTTATAGGTATTTTATGGGTTAGAATAAAGAACAACATTTTAAGAATAAATTCATACCAACTAGGAAATTATTTTAAAAACACTGCTAAAACTCACTAAAATTCATAAAAGAAAAACCACATGCTTCAGTTTCTCTTGCTTCTCTGTGTAGCTCATTGCTGAAGTATATTACCTTTTTATTTTATTATTTATTTATTTGTTTTTTTTTTTTTTTTCGAGACAAGGTTTCTCAGTAGCTATGGATCCAGTCCTGAAACTCTGTAGACCAGGCTGACCTTGAACTCACAGAAATCCACCTGCCTCTCTCTCTTGAGGCTGGGATTAAAGATGCGAGCCACTTCTGCCTGGCTATATAACTTTTTTTTTTAATGATTATGAGTAGCAGAAAAATCTAAAGTGCATACCAAATGGTGAGTAAATTACTGAGTGTTTGAGCATGGCGCTACCCATCATTCACTACAGCACTAGAAATGAGAGCCTGTATTAAGACCAGCCAGGCTACATAGATAGAGTGGGTGCCAAAAGAGACAAGTCAGCTATTACCTGACCATGTAAAAAGCAGCTGACATTGGGCCATCTTGATTTTAAGCAATGGATATCTTCTATCAGATAATTGAGCTCAAAAGTCTCCGCTTTGGGTCACCAAGATGGCTTAGTGGGTCAAGGTGCTTGCAGGCAAGCTTGATGAACTGAGTTCTGTCCTAAGGATCTGTAGGTAGCAGGAAAGAAGCAACTCCTGCGAGCTGTCCCGGTACCTTCACATATGTAATGCAGCACATGACCCCACTCCACAAAAATGAATACATTTAAGAATGTTAATAAAGAATTTCACAAATAAGATTCTTGTAGTCTCAAAAACTTTTATCCAGACATAAGTAATTCTAGTTGATTGAGTATTATTTAAGTTTTGATAAAAATAAGTCTGAGATAATTTCATGGATAGTAGGAACAGTTTGAACTTAGGAAGGTTGGGTTTTGGGAACACAGATGACCAATGAAGATTGTCAGATATCTGGGGAAACTCTAGAGTAGGAAATTGGGAGGAAGTGTATGGCTTTCCCTGGTGCTGGATGAAGCCAATGAGTAAGGGATGCATGGAAACCAGAAAGCTAGAATGCCTCTGGTGAAGAAGCACTGTTGAAAAGCAGGACCACTGGTATCGAATGTAGGTTGTGTCATCCCTGGACCTTAAGTTGTAGCATCAAAAAGTCTAGGAGAACTTGTGGGAACAGGGTGCTACCTGTAGGGAAAGATGGAGTCATGCTAGAGCAGAATTTAGCCACTGATTATACTAGGCTATAATACGATAATCTAACTTGGGGCATTAGGACACAACATGAGAACAAAATCTAATGATCCTTTTCTTCCTGAAACTCTTGGTGTTAAAAACTCTGTCAAGATGAAACAAACAGGAGACAGGCTTATGGTTCAGTGTAAGGAATACTATCATCACTGGTATCTTAAATTTATTGCTTTCTCCGGAAGGCTTTACTCAATACCTTCACTAAAACAGATGGCTTCAAAAGCTACAATGCAAGTCAGTAACTCCAAGAAGATCCTTGTATCCTGTGTAGCCTGTGTTTATGGGAATAAATTTTTTGCTAAGGGGTGTTTGTTTAGTGCTGTTGGCATTAAGAGTCAAGAGTGGAGCCATATTACTTCCCCTATGAAGAGATTCAAAAACAAAAATACATTTGTGTTTTATATGGAGGACTTAGAGACGATGTTTCATTATAAAAGGTGAGGATACTTGCTGTCTTTCTCAGCACACACACACTTTAATTCTTTGTGTACTTGTTGAAAAAACTGTTTTGGGCTCTGTTGGAAAATTAGAGTTTTATAATTAGTTCTGGCTTGGTTAGTTAAGACATGAAAGGAAGGGCACGATGCAGTTGACTCCTATGACATGGGAGGACCCTGTGTGTTGTAGGAGACCACTTGTTCATTTTCTGGCCACCTAGACTTCAAAAATAATCACACAGAAACCATATTATTTAAATCAATGCTTGGCCAATCACTTAATCATATTGTTAGCTAGCTCTTTTATCTTTAGTTAACCTATTTCTATTCTTATTTATTTATTTATTTATTTATTTATTTATTTATTTATTTTTTTGTTTTTTTGAGACAGGGTTTCTCTGTGGCTTTGGAGCCTGTCCTGGAACTGGCTCTTGTAGACCAGGCTGGTCTTGAACTCACAGAGATCCTCCTGACTCTGCCTCCCAAGTGCTGGGATTAAAGGTGTGCGCCACTACCACCCGGCCTATTTCTATTATTTTATATTTTATCACAGGCTTGTAGCCTACTGGCAAGTTTCCAGCTAGTGGCTTGTGTCTTCCTCCTCTGGTGGCTCCATAGTGTCTCACCACTCTGTGTTCATTCTTTCAGCATTCAGTTTAGTTTTCCCTGCCTACCTCTATTCTGCTCTGTGCAGGCCCAAGACAGTTTCTTTATTAACCAATAATATTCACAGAATACAGAGGGGAATCCCATATCACCGCCCCTTTTCTGTTTAAATGAAAAGGAAGGTTTTAACTTTAACATAGTAAAATTATATATAACAAGACAGGTATCAAGCAATAGTTAGAGTTGCAATATTTATATATACTTATTTATATCTACAATATTTACAAATATGTACAATATTTATATCTACTATTATATCTCTTATCATAACTAAGGAAAACTATAATTATAACTAACTGTCCTTCAACTTCATCAAAGAACCCAGAAGGATATAATATTACCTAAGTAAACATAAAGTTTATTGTAAGCAACTTTCACAACTCTAAATTGACAGAGACATCTCGCTGCCTGGACAGTCACCCAAAGTTCTGCAACATTCTTCTAGGCATCCATTTTCAGCCTATAGGCCCATAGTATCTGGCAGACTTTTTCATGAAGCAGTAAATTTGAAAGACAGTTCTGCCTATATTGACAGATTGTCAGTCATTTTCTTCTGTGTCATGTAGAATGTCTGGCAGATTTTTTCATGAAGCAAGAATCATGAAGGAGTGTCTCACCATTAGGTGAATTTAGCAATCATTTTCTGTAGGTCCTGCATGTCTAGTTCAAACTGTGTGACATAAAACCGTCCAGGAAAGAGCAGTTTCTTGCCCAAATGGCTAGCAAACTCCATTAGGAGTTTCTTCAGTGTCCATCATCCTTTTGAAGTGATTGGTGCTGCCAGGAACAGAAATGTCTCATGTCATGAAAAGTCCTAAGTTATTAAAACATTTTAAATAGCATATTGTGTAGTCTTTGAAAGATTTGAAGAGTACCTATCTAACTGAAATATATCTATATATCTAGAAAACCTAATTAACATGACTACAAGCTTGACTATTATAGATGATTATCTATTAACCTATATCTCTTTATTATACATTACATATTTAAATGAGCTTAACAAAAAGAATACCTTAATCAAGAGCAGAAATATACATATAACAAAATTGACCTTAAGTTTGTATCGATAAACCGAGATCCACGCAAATGCAAAGTATTGATCTCTATATCATAACCACCTTTAAATGTAAACAAACATAAAGAGTATTTGGGAATTTGGGTTTAGTTCTCTCCTGGTACGGGAGAATTGTCTGTATCCTGTCAATCATTTTTTAAATAAATGCTAATTGGCCAGGCAGAAAGTATAGGTGGGAAAACCAGAAAGGAAGTAAAAATGATACAATGAGAACAGGAAAATTCTGGGAAGGAGGAAGTTGATTCCTTCCACTTTTGCCCAGACTCCAAAGAAGCAAGATGTGAGCTGCCTTGCTGAGAAAGGTACTGAACCATGTGGTTAGCATAGATAAGAACAATGGGTTAATATAAGCTACAAGAGCTAATATGTAGCCTGAGATAATGGGCCAATCAGTTTTATAACTTATAGAGTTCTCTGTGTGATTTTCTTTGGGGCTTGCCAGCTGTGGGGTACCGGGAGGGACAGAAACACAAACGAGCAGGACCCTCATGTTACAAATGGTGCCCAACTGCTTCCTGATTCTTGTTGAATGAAATATTTTTGGGGGTGTTCATGGCAAACTTTTGGGGGTCTTGGTCCATCAAACCACATTAATCTGGAATTAATCTACAAGTTCTCATCTTCTGTGAAAACAAAAGAAGAACCCCTTTTCCAAAGCAACAAATCTTTAGGCCCAAATTTGGAAGTTATGATACCTTTAAAATATCTATACTGGTTTGGCTTAGTAGCCCATACAATTAAATGTCTCTCTGTACTTAGCTTCTTCACAGTCAAAAAATTCAAAGAAAGCACAATAGTATACATAATCCAGACTCTCTGTATATATTCCATCTTTATGTAAACTCATTACTCTTATTTTTCTACAAGTTTAATATCTTATTATCTTTATTCCTTTAATCTATGACTGTCTGTACTCTTTTATATTACATTTACTGTCTCTTTACACATTTTCTTCTCTCTTCCAAGCCTACGCACATTTTTAAAACACATTGTGTCTTGTTTAGAGGTCTTTTATGTCTGAATCTGTCCTATTGTGTATCTGAAATCCTTTTATGACCAGGACTGCTTCTTAAAACATTAAACTGCTTGACTAGTATTAAGGCTGCTTTGCCTTTTGGCTCCACCCAGTCCAGCATGATGGAGTTCTGTTTACTACCTCTGAGACTGCCAGATGGGAGTCACATTCATCAGTTCAACTTTGGTAACCAGTTGACCCATGCTGCCACCAAGTAACTTGAAGTACACTGCCCATAAACCACATTCAAATACTCAGCATCCTGAAAGAGCCAGAGTTCATGCTATCAGCACAGCCCAGGAAGCTGCTGTTTATAAACCATACAGTTTTTTCCCTCGCTGAATCAGGAAAACCTCTCTTAAAGGAACTGCAGCTTGCCACCAGCAAGTAGAGCCCATCTAGAAAAAAATGTGACTAAACTTTGTTTTTTAGTGTCTAGAATTCCTTTCCAAGCCCTCTCAGGTTTTGTGTAGATATAGTTGGTCCCACATTGGGCATCAATTTGTTGTCAGAGTTCGCTTGTTTGTTCCCAGCTGCCCAGAACTGATATAATCACACAGAAACTATATTAATTACAACACTGCTTGGCCTATTAGTTTTTGCATATTTCTAGCTCACTTTCATCTCTTAATCCATTTCTATTATTTTATATTTTACCATGAGGTCCATGGCTTACAGCAAGGTTCAGGCTGGCAGCTTGCATCTTTCTCCTCAGGCGACTCCATGGCATCTCTTTGACCCCACTTATTCTTTCTCCCATTATTCAGTTTATTTTCCCCCGTGTAGCTCTACTCACAGGCCAAGGCAGATACTCTATTCATTAACCAATAAAAGCAACACATATACAGAAGGATTTCCACACCACCTGTGGAGCCTGCATTCACTCTTCTATGGGCTTGCTTCTTTTGTGGAGGATAATGTGGGAGAAAAGCAAAGAAGACAAATTCCTGTTTAAAGTGTGTAAATTTCTATCTGCTACTCTCGTTTACTTAGGGACAATGCAATGCCACATAATACTTTTTTCTAATAACTATAATTATTTAAATGTTGACCATCTAAGTGTTCCTCTATGACTAAACATCTGAGAAGAAATAGTTTTGTCTTCTTTTGAGAAAACATGTTACTCATTGGAAAGTTCTCTACACCCCAAATTTTTGATAATTTCTTCATGGGAGGGCTTTTTATTATATACAAAATTCAGAAAACTACACTATCTATATATACTCCCAAAGGATACAATTTGCCAATTGAGTAAGGAATTAAATTAAAACACACATTGCAAAAATGAGGAAGTTATGGGGGAAAAAAGGGGAGACAGTAAGATTGAAACTATCTGAACTATTTGTTTTAGTTAATAAATAGCTGATTTTTTTTTCTCATAAACATTAAACATAATCTTTTAAAGGGAACATGAGAATGTATTAGGGTTAGACTAGACCTAGGAATCCAGATTAGTTCAGTCAGCTAAGCATTTTTTTTTTAATGAAGCAGGGTTTCAGTGTACAGCCAGGTTGGCTTGGAATACACTATGTAGCCCAGAGTAGCCACAGACTAATGGTCATCTTTCTAAACATGTTGTCTTCTTAAATATAATATTTTAGTTAGTCTATGAGAACTCTGTATATGTATACATTTCAATTTTATTCACATTCTACTGCCTACATCCTGTTCCTCCTGAATCCTCTTCCTTATTCATGTTTTTTTCTTTTTTTTTTTTTTACCTATAACTGAATCTCTACATTCTCCTCCTTTATGTTCTCATTCATTTTATATATAACTCACAGAGTCCAATCAACATTGACCATCTACACAATCTCCCAGGGTTGCTACACTAGCACAAAACTGACTCCCCTACCCTCTCAGCAGTCAACAACTGCCAGTAGTTCCTCCTTAGAGGAGAAAGCTCAGCAGCCCCTCCTCCATCCATCCTGGAATGTTTACTGGCTCTGTCTTGTGCAAAAACCAGCAGATGTTGTGAGCTCATGAGTTCACCAGTATCTTCAATACAGAAGACACATTTTATCCCCAGCCCTCCCAATCCACAAGTGCTGAGATATGAGGTGGGGTTGGTAGCCAGAAGAAAGGAAATAAATGTTTCTTCTTGCTCAGTTTTTATAAGGAAAGCCAATGAATATCATTTGTGAACTGATGATGACTACTTCAGATGAAGTTTGCACTGCAATAAATTTGTCATGAACACATAGCTTCTGTGTCTACTGACACTGGGTTTGACCCACCTAACAGACAGATATGGGTGGGAAAGGGCTTATGGGGATCGTCTCTCCTACTGCTGATCTAATGGCAATTGACAGATTCTGGGAGAAGGAGAGATGTAAGTACCCAGTTATGTATCGAATGGTGAGACCACAAGGCTCCAGTGGATCATTCCAAGCCCAGGGTCATACATAGAGATCCAGTTAAACTTTGTAGGACACAGCACAAAACAAAAGCAATGAATATGGAAGAGTAATTTGCAAGGAGGAGACAGAACTCATAGGGGT